ACAGTGTGACAAACAGCCAGCACAAAGAAAGCAGACACAAAGACAAAACTGCTGGCTGGTACAGAAAACACAGGATGGGGAAACAAGTGCAGGTGCCACCTTTGGCTCGTAAAGGAATGTTCACAAGACTCATTCAAGGTCATGCAGCTTGTTAAGTATTATTTTAAACTTTCCCAGTCTATTTTCCCATCCTGTACAGTCTATTTTCTCATGCAGTTGTCGAATATCATCATCATTAACTTCTAGCCCTTCGGCCCATTCTATACAATGGTACAAGCTGTCTTCTTGATCCACTGCAGTTCTTGGGACGTTTATGCGTCCACAATGTCATTATGGATGGAGTTCCAAGGTTGTTTTTACCCAGCAACAGTGAAAGGACAATTTCATAATCCCAAATCAGGATAGTGTGTTGCTTGAAGGGGGACTTCATGTTGAGCAGTTGATGCTCCCTTGCAATTGTTGCCTTTATCCTGCTAGATGCTAGATGTTGCAGGTTTGGAAGGTGCTATCAGAGAAGCCTTGGAGAGTTACTGCAGTGCACCTTGTAGATGGTACCCACTGTTGCCACTGTACGTTTCTAGGAAATGGAGTGAATGTTGAAGATAGCAGATGTGGTGTCGATCACACAGAATGCTTTACCCTGGATGATGCTCAACTTTGAGTGTTGTTAGAGCTACATTCGTTCAGGCAATTACAAAGAGTTCCACCACACTGCTGACTTGTGTCTAATAGAAAGCAAATAGAGAGTTGCTTGGCCACTGAATGCATAGTCTTTGACATGCTCTTGTGTTTTCAGGGTTTACTGAGGTATTCAATGATGGTAATACCATTGGAAGTCAAGGAGTGATGGTTAGTTTCTCTCTTGTTGAAGGTGGCCATTCACTGGTGCTGTGTGACACTAATGTTACTTGTAACTTGTCCCGATCTTGCTGCATACAAATATGCATTGCTTCAGTATCTAAGGAGCTGTGAATGGTGCCAGATATTATGCAGTTATTAGTGACCAACCTCAGTGTTGACCTTTGTGATGGAAGGAAGGACGTTATTGAGGCAACTGAAGATGATATGGTCTAGTACACTGTCTTGAAGAACTCTTACAGTTATTTCATGTGTTGAGATGATTGACCTTCCAAAACTATGACTGTCTTCCTTTGTAGTAGGCACAGCCCTAACCAGTGGAAAGTTTGCCCTCTTATTTCCATTGGCTCCACTTTCGCCGTTTTATGCTGTACTCTGTAAAATGCAATCCTCACCCCTGGAATGCACCTCTTGTGTCAGTGTTTGGATCAAAGCTGTAATGAGATCAGGTGCCAAGTGGCCCTGCGAGAACATGAACTGAATGTGAGTAAGCAGGTTATACTTTTGCAACTATTGTTTGATGACACTCTTGATTACCCCTTCCATCACTTGCTGCTGATCAAGGGTAGACTGACTGGGCAGTAATTGGCTGGGTTGGACTTCTCCTGATTCTGTGCACAGGTCATAACAGGGCAACTTTCCACATCGATGCATAGATACCAGTATTGAACTGCACTGGAGCAGCTTGGGTAGGGTGTGGTCAAGTTAGTTGATGCTGGGAACCTCAGTAAGAGGCGGAGATGGATCATCCACTCCACACTGAAATTATCTGCATGCCTGAGTATTCTTAAAACAGTATTAAATGTGTGAAATTCACTCGTTACCTGAAAATTTCTCCTCAGTTGAATAGATATTTTTCCACCATTGCTCCTTTTCACTTAAGCACATTCACCGCCCACCATAGATCACTGTGTTGTTTGCAGAATTAATCACTCCTGGCTAATGGTTAAAGTACTGTGCTTTTCTCTTTCCTTTATTGGGTCTAAAGGCACATTTGTTTAACAGTGGTAAAGAATGACTATTAGTGAATCTTAAAGAGGAGGCAATTCCTAACAAGATGTAGTTTAATGCATGATAGGAATAGGTATAAGTTACATTGCCTAGTTGGCCGTAATAATGATCAGGAGGAAATGATGACGCATTTGTCTCCATTGCAATCTACATCTGGACTCTCTTTTTTGACCCAATATTATGTAATGACATATTGGATGGAGCTCAATACAGAATCCGAGATTACCATTTCAGAACGATTACCTTGTTCAGAATATTTCTATAACAAAGAATTGACAAAAAGGCAGTGGGCTGAATCAGTTCCGTCTCTGCTAAAAATGGTCATAGTAATGCTGCGTTTAGCAGCTTTCTGACAAATGTTTGTATTTCTGAAAATAGTGCACGTATTCAGTCTTGTGGATGCCTTGTCATGCAATAGTCTGCAGAATATCAAAGCACTGTTTTGAGAGAAGGTATCCCTTTACCAAATGTCAGTTTTGCATTGAAGATATGTCATGGATGGTTTGTGAATTGTGCAGCTGAACTAACCAATAATTATAATCCAGAGATGATTCTTGAATACAGGCATTGTGATATGTCCCACTCAACTAAGAAACTTCTGGTTTTACTTAACTTTGGGTAGTCTTTTTAGTCTTGTGAAGACCTTGGCATTGGATGGCTGTTCAGAGTGGTGGTTCTGAGAAAGGAATACAGATTCAGTGAATTAGTAAAAAGCCCAACAAGCTAAAAAGGAGAGTTAGCTACATTTGAGAAATGTTGTAAAAGTCAAACACTCAATAAAGCATTCGCTAAAAATTGTCAAATATAGTACAGACTGGAAGGATGATTTATATCAATGACTGCTGGTATTTAAACACATATTGCTAGTTGGTTTCTTGGAATATTGAAGGGCACGATGTACAGTAATAAACACAGGATGAATTAGTGGGAGAGATATTGTGTGGCGAGCCTCAGGCCTTGGCTGAGGCAACTAAGATCTTGAGCAAAAAGTAAAGGCATGTAAATAAATTTGATTAAAGTACTTTGAAACAAAACAAAGGGAAAAAGAGTACAATTCTAGAGTTTTCACTTGTATGTTTAGGAGCAAACTTTGGAATTATTTGTTTTACTCAGACATGGTCAATATTTTCCATCTGTTGCTACGATTTGTGAGTGTTGATGTGACACTGAACCAAATCTGAGAAACGAGAAGAAGTGGTGGTGGGAACACTGTTTAGTATCCTGGAAAGATAAAATCCTGTGTTCTGCATGCCTACCTTGTGTTCTGACTGATTCTGCTTTCAAGGTTGCAGTTAGTTAAACAGTCAAACTAAAGTAGCAGTGGTGTTTGGGATTTAGTTGAAGTTCAGAATGTTATTGAGTGTGGCTCAGTCATCTAAAGAGTGGGATTAGGATTCTGGTCTCCAGCGGTGTGTGTTTGAATCTCGGCAATACTTCAGATCCCGTTCAGTGGACAATTGGCAGCTGAAATATAAGATGGAGCAGGGCATGATTTTTCATTTTTCAATAGAAAGGGCAAATTTGTGTGCCAAGGGGAAGAAACGAGGGAATTTCAGAAGCTAAATTATGCTTTCAGAAAGACAGCACACATATGATAAGCCAAATATCCTCCTCTTGTTCTGTAACCATTCTGTGATTGAAGAACTTGTATTATCTGGTTCTGCCATCTGAGTTAAGTAAAATTCTGGCACACAACGCTGCATTTATTAAGGTAGAAAGTTGGCTGACATACACTAAAATATGCAGATATGCTGGTTTGCACTGCTAAATATATTTTAGCAAATATAACCTAGGTCCCTTATTCCTTACTACCATTTAAGGTGATGGTTGTAATTTGCAAAAAAAAAAGAGGAAATTATGAAAATTATTCGATCCTGAAATCCAGTTCTGTGAGTGAACAGGGGAGGTGATGGCCTGGTGGTATTATCGGTGGATTGTTAATCCAGAGACCCAGATAATGTTCTGGGGACCCAGGTTCAAATCCCGCCACGGCAGATGGTGGAATTTGAATTCAATAAAATATCTAGAATTAAGAATCCAATGATGACCATGAATCCATTGTCAATTATTAGAAAAAAACCCATTTGGTTCAATAATGTCCTTTATGGAGGGAAGCTGCCACCCTTACCTGGTCTGGCCCACGTGTGACTCCAGACTCTCAGCAATATGGTTGACTCTGAACTGCCCTCTGGGCAATTAGGGATGAGCAATAAATGCTGCCTAGCCAGCGACGCCCTCATCCCATAAATGAATAAAAAACAATTGTGTGAAGCCCACCTACGCTTTTCGTAATTAAAAGTCTGAAATATTTGTGTTGCACAGTCTCTTGCTGCCCTTTTATTTTTGTATGGTATTGCTAGAGTGAATCAACACTGCTGCTCTTTGCTTGGATGAGGTGTTCTCTGTTTGCTATTCTGCTTCTATTAATGTTCTGAAATTTTTCTTCCGTAAAGCATGATCAAAAGCCACTCGGAATATAGTTTTCTTTCTCTTTTTTGCCTTTCTCGTTCTTTCTCTTTCTCTGACCACACTGTGACTGCAGTCGATACTGGGGTTGGAGTGCAGATGGGCTGTCAAAGCATCCCCCCACCCCTTCTCAGCCTCACTCCATCCCCACAGTTCCTACCCACAAGACCTTCCGGCGTTCTTACTCGCCCAGGTAACGAAGCCCCATCCACATCTATTCAAAATGCCTTGTCTCATCAGGGGACTCTTATTTTGGGCTTTAGCGTGGTTTGTCATTATGTTTTGAGTGGCTATAACATTTGTTTGCTTTAATTCATTGCCAATTTTGTATTAATTTTCATCCTTCTTTCAAATAATGACAACATTACTTATTTATGAATGTGAACCATCACAATTTTGAATGTATCATCACAGCTGAATATTTTTAGTAGCAGTGGGATAATTGATCAGCAGTGATCCATAAATTTAGTGTAATTGAATAATTATTGCCTATTCTGAATAATTGAAAGCAATATTAAATGCTGGCACAAGCACAATGGGCTGAATAGTCCCTTTCTGTGCTGTACCATTCAATGACCATGTTACCATGTTTTGAAGTATTTCAGTCATATTTTCGAAATGTATTTTCTGCTTTAGATTTTACTCACTGGCTGTTTTATCTATAGCATGTTGGACTATGACACAGAAAACCTTAACTCCGATGAAATTTATAGTTCTCTTCGTGGGGTCACACAAGCCATCCAGAACTTCAGTTTCCGTAGTCAAGAGGATTTAAATGAACCAATTAAACGCGATGGGAAGAAAGACTGCGATGGTGTAAGTACCCTCGTACAAACTCGACACAAACCCTTCTTTGACTATCCGTGCAGTTGCCTTGATGAGGGAGCCAGGGAGAGAATAATGACAATTGCTGTATATTTTTGCCACAACACAATAACACTAGGCTTGAAGTCCTATTACCTTGGGGGCTGTGGAATTTCAGTATCCATATCAACTCAATGTCCCCTTGGCATACTGTAAAGTTTTTTGGTGAAGAATAGATAATAGTTCCTTTTGATATAATTTTGCTCTTACTGTTGCTTATCTTGCCCTACTGGCGGAATGTGTCTTTCTGTTCTGTGTGACCGTTAATATAACAATTTGCTTCAAAGTTTTCATTAGCCTGGAGGACCTAAGATCAATTCAATCAGAACAAACCTGAGACTTCCAGTTTTATGACCTCCTAAAACACACATAACGTATTTGTGTATATTGCCCTTTTTGGAGAGATCTGTACATTGAGGCACAACGTCTGTTAAAGCATATTTGTAGCACAATGTACACACAATTTGGTAGGATTTCATACTTCTTTGCTGGAATGGTAGTGAATTTCCAACTGTGCCAATGATTTTGCAACTGCTGTCCTTGTCCCACCTAGAAGTTGATGGGCAACAGTTGCATAAAAATACCATTACCTGAGTTCTGAGGAAGAGTCACCGGACCTGAAATGTTAGCTCTGTTTTTTCCTTCACAGATGCTGCCAGACCTGCTGAGCTTTTCCAGCAACTTTGTTTTTGTTCCATTACCTGCAAGTTCCCCTTCAACTTACACACTATCCTGGCTTGAAACTGTATAGCTGCCCCTTTGCTGTCAGGTACCAGGTCACCATCCTGGAATTCCCTTCCTAACAGCACTGCGAATGTACCTTTTCCCCCAGTCCAAAACCGCTTTTTGCACACCATCTTTTCTCCTTCTCAAATTTTACAAATAACACATTTAAAACATATGGTGTTGTGGCCGCTATCAATGCCCACATATGATATTATCGCAACATTATTAATGCAACATAATGCAATGAGTTGTCTATGTTTCTGTTCCTCTATTGCCCCCTATCTGGAGACCTTTGATATATTCCCAGCAGTGTGACTGGTCCCGATACTCTTCTGACAAAGCCTCATTTGAAGACCCTCCCAAGAATTCATCCCTCCTTACTTCAGTAACTAATTCCATAATTAATTAAGAGTGTGAGCTAACCTGGTTTTCTTGCTACTCTGAAAACTGTATTTTTTTATGTAACGTTAAATCATTTTGAATATTCAAAAATGCCTTGTATATCACTTTTTTTGTTAAAGGTATCAAGGGATGGAGGAATTGCATCTCCATCCTCTGACATCCGTGGAGGTGGTGAGCCTGTAGAAGGAGGAAGAACTGCGCTTGACAACAAAACATCTTTACTTAACACTCCAGCACCCCGCTCTTTCTCTGGACCTCGCACTAGAGAATACAACCCATATAATTATTCAGATACGATCAATGTGTTTGACAAGACAGCACTCAAAGAAGCTATGTTTGATGATGATATGGAACAATTCCGTGATGGTAAGACTCTTTTGTATGAAGTACCTTAAATAATTTGGCTTCACATAGTATAACTTTACTGGATTATGGTGCAGATCAGTAAATTAATGTTAAAATAGTGACTTGACGCAAAGGAATTCCTGAAGCCAATATGAAACAAAGATCTGCAGATGGGGTAAATCTGAAACAAAAGCAGAAAGTGCTGGTGAAACGTGGCATGTCTGACACGATCAGTGGAGAGAAAGTAGAGTTAGCTTTGAGTCCAGTGTGACCCTTCCTTAGAACTGTTCTGAAGCGTTTCTGGGCTCAAAGTCAACTCTGTTTATCTCTCTATACATGTTGCTAGATTTGCCGAGTTTCTCCAGAAGTTTCTGTTTTTGTTCCTGTGAACCAGGAGCAGAAATAGGCTATTTGGCATCTTGAGCCTGTTCGACCATTCACTAAGATGATTGTCCACCGTTGTGTTTTGAATTCCACATTCTCATCTACCCCTGATACCCTCTAATTCTATTGCCTAACAATTATCTATATCTACAGTACAAATATTCAGTGTCCCCACCTTCTCCACTTTCTGAGACAGAAAGTTTCAAAGTCACGCAATCTAGAAAACAGTTCTCCTCATTTCTGTCCCAAAAGGGCGACCCCTTATTTTTAAACTATGCTCCCTCATTAGGATGCATCCTTTCCATGTCCATTTTGTCAAGACCTTTCAGGATCTTATGTACTTCAATCGAGTCACTCCTCAAGTGGAAACAAGCCCAGTCTGTCTAGTCTTTCCTCATAAGACATCCTATACATTTCAGGTATCGCATTAACATCCTTCCTTAAACAAGAAGATCAAAACTGTACAGAGACCTCCAGATGTAGTCTCATGATTGTATAAATGGACCATAATACTCTTGCTTTGTTCATTCCCCTTGTAATAAAGGATAGCATTTCATTAGCCTTCCCGATTACCCTTAGTACTTCTGACTTTTACTGACATATGCACTAGAACACCTGAAAATGCGCCAAGGAAGGCATCTGATAAATGAATGGGTCGGATGGTAGATGGCAGGTTGAATGGGTTTCCGGATGGCAGCCACAACTTTTCGCTTTATACGTTTAATGATCTAGATGAAGGAATGGAGGGCATTTTGGTTAAGTTTGCAGACAATCCAAAGATAGGTAGAGGAACAAGTAGTATTGAGGAGGTAGGGAAGCTGCAGAAGGATTTGGACAGGTTAAGAGAGTGGGCAAAGAAGTGGCAGATGGAGTACAACACTAGGAAAGTGTGAGGTTATGCACTTTGGTAAGAAGAATAGAGGCATGGACTATTTCCTAAATGGGGAGAAAATTCATAAATATGAAGTGCAAAGACACTTGGGAGTTCTAGTCCAGGATTCTCTCAAGGTAAACTTGCAGGTTGTCAGTAGTTAAAGCAAACGCAATGTTGGCGTTTAGTTTGAGAGGACTTGAATGTAAAAGCAGGGATGTACTTCTGGGGCTATATAAGGCTCTAGTCAGGCCACATTTGGAGTATTGTGTGTAGTTTTGGGCCCCGTATCTCAGGGAGGATGTTACTGGCCCTGGAGCTGGTTCAGAGAAGGTTCACGAGAATGGTGCCAGAAATGAAAAGCTTAATATATAAGGAATGTTTGAGGACTCTGGCTCTGTACGCGATGGAGTTCAGAAGGATGGGGGGGTATCCGATTGAAACTTACAGAATACTGACAGATTGGATGTTAGGAAGATGTTTCCCTTGGTCCGAAAGACTAGGACCTGAGGGCACAGCCTTAGAGTAAAGAGAAGACCTTTTAGAATGGAGATAAGGAGAAACTTCTTCAGCCAGACTTACTGCCTCAGAAGACTGTGGAGGCCAGGTCATTGAGTATATTTACGACAGAGATAGATAGGTTCTTGATTGTCAAGGGGATTAAGGGTTACGGGAAGAAAGCAGGAGAATGGGGTTGAGAAACTTATCAGCCATGATTGAATGGCAGAGCAGACTCGATGGGCTGAATGGCCTAATTTTTGCTCCTATGTCTTACAGTCTTATGAATGGTATTCACAAGAAAACAAGTTGAACAGGATCTGTGGAACAAATAGGTTTGATGGATTACAGATCTGTCTTCACTTCAGAATTTTGTTGTTTTCTTTTTAAGTAATACTGTGCTCTTTTGTTTCTCTTGACAAAGTGAACAACTTGACATTTTCTCTCTTTATGCTCCATCTGTCAGATTTGTGCCTGTTCACATAACTTATCAATATCCTTATGCAACCTCCTTATGTCCTCTTCACACATAGTAGCAGCAGCAAAAGCCCATTCAGCTCTTCCAGATTGCTCCATCATTCAGTGAGATCATAGCTGATCATATACCTCAATCCAATTTTCTGGAACTGTCTGTACCCCATGGTTTTGGTATATTAAAATCCATCAAACTTTAATCTTAAACATGGCCAAAGACTAAGCCAAAGCTCTGTGGGACAGAGTTCCAAAGGTTCACCATCCTCTGAGTGAAAGAATACCTGATCTCAGTTCTAAAATGGCCTACCCAGCCAGGAGGTCCATCCTTCCTCCATCTACTTTGTCAAGCCCTCTGGGAATTCTGAGATCACCTCTCGTTCTTCCAACAGAAAATAAAGGACTGGTTTACTTAATCCATTGTCTTAGGGTGATCTCTACAGTCAAGACCAAATTTGCACACAATAGTCCAGGTGTGGTCTCACCAAGTCCTCTATATAATTTCTGCAAGATTTCTTCTCTCCTTATACCAAATCCATTGTCCCTAGCTGGTGTGACCTACATGTGATTCCAGAACCGCAACAATATGGTTGACTTTTAATTGCCCTCCGATATGACATTGCAAGTTCAAAGACCATTGGAGATGAAAGACAAATGCTGGCCTTGCCAGGAACACCTACGTCCTGTGAAAATAAAAATCTGATGGGAATTCTGGGCACATTTATTTCTTTACTGGTGATGTTCAATGCATGGATAAATACTGTTATGTACTTAGCGCTTTAGTGACTTCTTAGCAAGTGCACTATGTACTAATAAATGCTCGCGAATAACTTTTAACATTTCTTAGATCAGGTAATGATGCAATTAATTGCTATTTAAGCCTTTTGCATGCTTAATTTCTTTTATCACTTTCAAATAATATGCCCAGAGCAAGACTAGAGATTACAATATTGTTTTCCCACAGAAAATTGTGTACATTACTCATAGCTGAAAGCTGTGTTGATCAAATCTTTAAAATATTTGGTTACAGAATACTGATTCTGAAATTATGCATTGTTAGTTGATTTAAATGTGTGTGGAATACAACAGTTCCTGAGCTGTGACACCATGAAAATGTGCCAAGGAAGGCATCTGATCAATGAATGGGTTAGATTATATTTACAAGAGAACAAGTTGTACATGATCTGTAGAATAAATAGGTTTAATGGAGTCAATTATTTGATTCACAATTTCTTCATGTTCTTGTGTGCAAAAGAACATGAAATCTACACTGAGGTGATAACTGACTCAAAGCTGTAGTGAGGATCAGTGAATCAATTGAAAAACCAGTGAAATGTGTCGATAAGAAGCCCTGATGAATCACTTTCCTGGGAGGACTCTCCACAATGCATTGTGATGATTATAAGCAATTTAGTGTTGAATTCTCTCAAACTGTGGGATGTATTTAAGAATTGTGCTAGAAACTGACAGTTGTTTTGGAGACTAGGAATGAAATATTATTTTAAATATGCTGTAAGTCTTCCTGGGTACAGTTGTGGTTTCCGGCTAAGAACGCAGATTCTCGATCTGAAAAATACTAAAAAGTATTCTGAATGATCATCGTGACTGTCTCTTGATTTAAAATTGACATCCACTCAGGAATAAGAGTTTCTGCAATGGGTCTTCATGCAACTCAACATAGCAATTGTCACCCTGCAGATCTTTGGACCCATGCAGCAGAATACCCTAAGATCCAGAGTGTAGGATTTGATTTGTTTTAATATTTGTTAAACCGATTGCAAAATTACAGTGTTTCTTTAACCATGAACATGATAACTCTGCAGGGTATAGTTCCCCAGCAGGAGAAAGTGAGTGTGCTTATTTTCAAGGTGCTTATTCTAGCCCTTTTCCTATTTGTGGTCTGGAGGGTATCCTGCAGAGGACTACTCAGTCACGGATGCTGCTGCCCTAAGATACACGTGTCCCACTGTTGGTATCCATTGACCTTCGTGCCTCTGTCAGCTGGGTGCCAGTTCTAGGCTTGAGGCTCCCAGGATTGCAGCCAAAAGCCTCCAATTCTCCATTGACACTCGACTTAGTAAATGGACCCTGTTCGAAGCCTGACATTCGTTTAACATGAAATGTGGACAGTGTCATTGCCCACATGACCCTGACAGGCTGTCTCCTGATTACATTGATGTGTTTAAATCATAATGAGTCGGACCGCCTTGTTCCTACAGCCTTCTTCCATCTTATTGTCAGTGATCAGAGTTCTCCTTTGTCTATGCTGCTATTGACAATTTTTGCACTGCATTTTATCTGGCATCCCTGCCACTCTTGCTGCCAAGTAGTCCTACCAGGAGAAAACACCTGGTAACATCACTCGAGGGATTGTATGTGCACAAGCCTCTCCACTACATCAACATTTCCATTATGTCTGTCTTCAACAATCCTTCAAAATAGGTAATTATTTGAAATAGCTCAACTTGGAATGTGAACTGCCTGTGCACTTTATATTAGAAGAGAAAAAGATTTAACTTCTTAAGAAGAATACTTGGGAAATGTTGTGGCCATGACTGAGAATACAGAAGCTGAATTTACTAGAATTTTTTTTAATGTGATGCTTCATAGCCTTCATGACAGAAAAAAACTGAAGCCATAAGATAATTGCATCAAGGATTTTATCCAGGTTAATCCAGCCTTGTTTCAAGTAAATGTCATTTAGGTTAACTGTTGAGCTGATCTTTTGCAGATTAATGAGCTATGGAGTGAAAGCCCAGGTTCATTTAAAAAAAATAGCCCAGCTATTTGGATACACAACTACCAAAATGAATATCCTGATCAGAAGGTGGATCACTTAGAATTCTTTGAAATGATTTTATTCGTAAAATGAATGTTATGTGTACATATGTAAGTAATTGTTCAGGGCAACTGATTCCAAGGGATACTATATCATCCTGTTTGATATAAACTTTGCAGTGTTTGGGCAGGTGAAGACCCCAAAGCACTACTCTGAGGTGCTGTACCCATGACAACGAAGAAACAAAAACATAATTGTCACGACCACACGATATCTCAAAGTACTTCACAGAAAATTAGAAGATTTACGTGTTGCACTGTTGTAAAATGAGGAATACTGCAGTCCATTTACACATTTTGTGCCAGTACAATACTAATCATGTCTTTCCTGTTAAGTGGCAAAACTGTACACATTACTCCAGCTGGGATCTAGCAAGTATTTTATTGCAAGTTCAACATCATCACCTCTTTTGTATTCAGTGCCCCTATTAATAAAGCAGAGGACACAATGCTTTAGTAACTTCTCTCTCCACCTATCCTGCCATCACAATGATCTGTGCAAATATGCCAGGTCTCTCTGTTTCTGCACTTCCTTTAACATTGTACCCCCATGTTATATTGTCTTTCAATGTTCTTCCTATCAAAGTGTATCATCTCACACATTTCTGCTTTGAACTTCATATACCGCCTATCCGTCCAACCCACCGATTTGTCAATTTCGTTTTTGAGTTCCGCACTATTTTTCTCACAGCCTTTAATTTTACCAGGTTTAGAGTCATTTGCAAGCTTTGAAATTGTCCCCTGTACACTGAGAGCCAGATCATTAATATATATTGGAAAAAGCAAGGGTTGCAATATTGACTCCTGTGGAATTTCACTAAAACCTTCCTCCAGCATGAAAAATGTCAGTTGACTATTACTGTGTTTCCTATTACTCAGTCAGTTTTGTATTCATGTTGCTGCTGTCCTTTTTTAAATCATCACCTGTAACGTTCCATTTAGTTTTCAAAAGACATGGATTTATTTAAGGCAGCAAAAAATTAAGAAACTGGAGAAATTCATGCAAGTGAAAGTTGAAAAATCCCAAACCCCTGAGGATCTTCACCTTGTTGGAAGAGTCAGTTGTAGACATGATGGACACATTAGTGACCATGTTTCAAAATTCTACTAATTGAGAAGTGGTGCCTGTAGGTTGGAAGGTTGCAAATCTAATCCCACTGTTTAAGAGGACAGAGAAAACTTGGAAGTACAGACTTGTTTAGCCTAACAGCAGCACTAAGAAGCATATATTACTTATGATAAACACACTAGATTACTGTATGTTAAAATAATTGAATTATCTACAGTAAACTAATTTCTTCACTGCTCTCCTAATCTCTTGGCGAAAAATATTCAATTTCTTGACAGTGTAATTCTACTTGATATTTAGCACATTTCATGTGCTTAAATGCATTTCACATTCTCATGTAAAAATAGTACTGTCTGTGTGTTTTATATTTCGGTAGATAGATAATATGCGCACCTAAATATGTTTTTTGCAAACTTGAAATATCACATGTTAAATTTGGTGAGTGAGTTATTTCAAGATTAAAATTGGCATGTGAGACTTTTAAGTAATACCAGAAGTCTTTCAAACATCGATATTTAGGCCAAATGGCCACCTTCTGTTCATAATAATTCAGTGATTTACTTTACCATGGATTAATTAACACAACTGTCACCAACTGCTCTACTTCATCTGAATTGTCAATGCTGCTTGGCCTGCATCCGTTATTGGATAAACACTAAAACTGAAACCACGTTACATTCACTAGCTTCTGGTTCCGTTGCCCTCCCTGAACACTGAGGATGAGCCATACTGTTTGCAATCTGAGTTCTTTCTGACTCTAAACTGAGCTTCCATCCCCCACCACCACCAAAAACATTGTCTTCATGCTTTTCTTACCTGCAGACTCAGCTATTCCAGTGCTGTTCTGTTGTCCTTCCAACTCCCATCCTCTGTCCTCCATAAAGAAATTCGTATAAAGCTTTGCTGCCTGAATTCTATCAAGCCAACACTTGCTGATCTACAATGGCTCCCTCGGACCAGCGTTACCTCAGCTTTAAAATTCTAATTTTTGTGTTCAAATCTTTTTGTAGCTTTGTATTTCCCTATATTTGTAACTTACTACAGTTCAACAAACCTCCCTGAGCTCAACTTCTCTCATTCTGAACCTTAATTATTACTGATTTCCTTAATTCCTCTATTGTCAGTCAGCCTTTCATTTGTCTAGAGCCTTGACTCTGAATTCTTGCCTCAGTCACTCCCTGCCTCTACCCCTCCTTTCTTTTGAGATACTCCTTAAAGCATACATCATTACCTGAGCTTTTGGTTACCTGTCCTAATTTTTCCTTGTGGAGCTCAATGTCAAATATTGCCTGATAACACTTCACTTCTCTGAATCACCTCCCTGTGCTTTACACGATAAATCTGCTATATAAATGCAAAATTTGACAAACTTGTTCAAGAGTCATTTTTAACTCTGGATTTCCAAATGTTGCACAAGTATTTTAGGTCGCATCTGTCCATTTAATCCATATTTATTGTGAAATCATTAGTGTTTGTTCGATTGAGTATGATTGCATGGGAATAGGATTGATTCCAATCAATATTCTTGATTGCTGAATTCTGAAGTGAAATTAAGAAGAATTGATTTATGATTTCTTGCCATCCTCTCTTCTGAAATAAAAAAATTAATTACTGGAGTTTTTTTTGGGAAGGAAAGAGAACTAATCTGCATTTTAATAGAATGTCATTTCTGTGGCTAGAGGAAGTAATACTAAATCTCCATACTGAGAGTTTGTGTTTTTCTTTGTGTGTAATTACTCCCTCTAACAGGCTAAATCCTTTCACTGACTATTTTTTTGTAGATGAAGCTTATATGACAGAGCAAAAGAATAGGAAGGGAAATAGTAAAATTCAAGGAGTACATTACAACACTGAAAGAGGAGCTATCAAAACATTATCAACTACTTAATTTAAATGAAATTCTGAACAGATGCTTTGAAACCATTGTTTAATATCCAACTGGTGAGCTTTCCGATATATTTGCGCTCATAGGAGTAGGATAAACGGTAAACGGACGGTCAGGAATTGTGGAGTCAATTGGGGAATAAAAAGGAAACCCTCTTGTGGAGGCAGAGGACATGGGTGAGATATCAAATAGAGTCATAGAGATGCACAGCCCAGAAACAGACCCTTCGGTCCAACTCGTCTATGCTGACCAGATATCCTAAATAAATCTGGTCCTGATTGCCAGCATTTGGCCCATATCCCTCTGAACCCTTCCTATTCATATACCCATCCAGATGATGTTCTAAAATGTGATGCAGTTGCGACACTCGAGTAGTAAAGTTTATGATAGATATCCTATACTAAATCCTGTGTTTGGTGTTCAGCAGTATGTATTGTATCCTGAACATCTGAGTCAAGGAAATGTGTTGCAGTATTCATTCTCATAGGCTGCAGCCTTTTTGGCCAAATGTAATGGATATTTTGAAAGACCTCAATTTTTATTTTCCCCCTCTTTCATTTGCTGTCAGTTCCCATTGATCATTCAGATTTGGTTGCTGACCTTTTGAAAGAACTTTCCAACCACAATGAGCGAGTTGAAGAACGGAAGGCAGCACTACTGGAACTTCTAAAAATAACCAGAGAGGATACTCTGGGGGTGTGGGATGAGCACTTCAAGACTATTCTGCTTTTGCTTCTGGAAACCCTAGGTGACAAAGATGTAAGTATATCTTCAGAGCTCCGAAGGTGGGAATCCTTTATTTACCCGAAGCATAACGTGGTATTTTGCAACAGTGGAAAGTGTTGTTTATACTCTTAATAAAACAGCTATATAGCTTTCTCAAAATAAGCAAATTAATTCCAATTTATTAGGATCAGACTCATTCAGGATTCTGCTATATTTAATGTGGAATCTCCTGAGGTATTCAGTAAAATGTTTCTTCAGTTCATTGAAATTTCCAAACTGTTGCCCTACCTCGGAAGTAAACTAGTTCACCCTTGCGGCAGTTCAAAGTAAAGATCAAACCGATTTTTAAAAAATTGGAAAGAAGTGAAATATGATGCTAGAAATTAAAAGTAGAGAATATTGGAAATACTTGGGAAATCTGTGGAGGGAGAAAACATTAATGTTCTTAGTAATGACCTGTTATCAGCATTGGGAACAGATCTGTAATAACAGTGGGAGCAAGCTGGTAGACGACCAGAAGCTCTGAGCCAACCTGGAGTCGTAGGGACATAACAGCACGGAAACAGACCCTTCGGTCCAACTTGTCCATGCCAACTAATTTCCTGAACTAAACTAGTCTCACTTGCCATCATTTAGCCCATATCCCTCTAAATGTTTCCTATTCATGTACCTGTCCAAATGTATTTTAAATATTGTAGCTGTACTTGTGTCTACCACTTCTTCTGGCAGTTCATTTCACATACAAGCCACCCTCTGTGTGAAAAAGTTACCCATCAGGTCCCTTCTAAGTCTTTCTCTTCTCACCTTAAATCTCTAGTTTTGAACTCCCGGACCCTAGGGTAAAGACCTTTGCTATTTACCTTATGATTTTATAAACTTCTGTCAGGTCACCCTTTATGGATTCCATAAAATAGCCACCCAATCTGCATTTGGTCTCTCCAGCATATAACTTACCACATCACGAACAGTGACTATGGTATATTGCATTGAAAATGCAAATAAATTGCCATTTGACCTGGAAAGTATGTTTTGGGCCTTGCACTGTAAGAAGAAATGAGAACTCCTTCACTTGCGTGAGAAGTTGGGGGGGGAGGAAAGGTTTGAGGAAGAGACCAGGGCATCATGGAGAGACGTTGGGATGCTAAAAAGGGAGGGAAGGAGATGTGTTAATAGCATCTTCTGATCAACATGGTAGTTGGTGGGATGGAGAATGAGGACAAGTGCAGCCCTACTGTGGTTTTGAAGGAGAATAAGAGGTGTGAGCAGAAGAAGGGACATGATAAAGGGCCCTGTCAATTGAATTTGGTGGATGGGTGACATCCCGGTTCAAACAAAAATGAAGACCTATCAGAAGCACTAGTATGAAAATTTGGAATATGTTGACATCTCCATGTGAACAACTCTACATCCAGTCAAGAAATTTGAAATATAGTGCAATCCTGTTAATGTGCAAGTCATTGAAATAAAACAAAAGTGTAGTGTAAAGGACACGAGACGTGCTGTTGACCTTTGAATTCTTTTTATAAGCTATAATTTAACGTGATTGTTAATTTTTTAAATGTCCATGCGAGCATTTGCAGTCTGGTATTAATAGAAATTTAATGTCAGGGTATCACAAAATAATTAAACAGATTAAACATGTTCTAAGTCCTTTTACTGGGACAGCATGCCAATTGTTCATGGCGTAGCAAGCTGTCAGTAATTTTGTGACTTGACTAAATGATGACTTGGGTAACGTATACAAGGAAAATTGTACTTGGGAATATTTACAGCTAGCAAACATGTAACAAATTCATAGTTGATCAGTAAAAGAGAATCTCCTAGCTTAAATGGTATTTTCAATCCACCACAATTGCAAGCTTCAGAAGATTATACTTTGACTCTCTCACTGTGATATTTTTTTCCATGCTGATTTTGATGGTGAAGTAGTCAGTGATGTGAGCTCAGGCTCTGGAAAGAATTTGTATAGATACAATAAGAGTACAATTTATAAATGTATTTACCAATTAACTTTTAATCCCTTCTCAAGCATTCCATTAGAGCATTAGCCTTAAGAGTTCTACGGGAAATTCTACGTAATCAACCGGCAAGGTTTAAAAACTATGCTGAACTAACAATAATGAAAACACTAGAAGCACACAAAGATTCCCACAAAGAGGTGAGTTGAGGTTTCCGTATCTCTGTGATTGAATCTTTTCTTATATCAGGCGCTGAACAATTTCTTTTCAGTTCATTTACTTTCCAAATTGATATTAAACATCTTTTGTGAAGTGTACCTAGGCATCTGTCAGATGTCATTGTGGAGAAAATGGTGACTGTTTGCATTGAAAAAGAGATACAGGAAATGTAATTTCTGCCTTATAAATGTTTAAGCAAAAAGTAGTGAAGGAAATTTAACAGCCTGAATAAAGGCCAAGGACATCCATACCTCCCACCTTCTGCATATTGGTTGCCGTATGTACTGTCTCAGATGCACTACAGCAGCTCTTCAGTGTCTCATTGGTAGCATTTCCTGAGACCACAACCTCCACTGAGAAGGACGGAGATAGCAAGCGCATTAGTCACCATTATCTTCAGAATGCATGCCATACGACTTGAGAATATGTTACTGTTCCTTCATTGACACTAGGTCAGAATCCTGGAATCATGACCTAACAGTACTATGGCTTTCACCCCATCAGGTAATGATTTAAGTTTTATTTAATATATTGGGCGATAATGGGTCCCATATTTAGAAAGACATTCAAATCATAGAGAGCATAGAGCAGAGAATCACTAGAATTGGTGAACTGTTGGTATCAGGAGAAGTTTAAGCTACTGAGTCTACTTCCAAGTGAAGATTTTTTTCTCAAAATTATCTTAGTTTGCCCTTATTTCTCTGATTATAATTCAGCCCCCAAAATGTCTTGGGTTGTTCAATGAAGCCAGCATTTCTTACGTAGACAAGATAAATAAAATAGCAGAAATAATGGATTAGGAAAAGATTTTTATTGCCATGATTAGTGTTATGGGGGTGGTTATTTTCTGGTTTCTGCTGGGTCATACTTTAGCCATCCTATCGAAACATGGGAACAAAAAATGGCCACAACCACTCTGACACAAAATTATATTCCTCGATTCACCTAAAATGGTGAATTGTGATGATTGAATGCATTTTAAACTTAATTTCAGTGTTGCAAAGTGATTGATAGAAAATGATCTATAGGTCACATAGAAGATTTTGTTGTGAACCTTCTTGGACATATTTCTTTAACTGACTTAAGTTTTATTTGGATATTTTGTGTTCATGTAAACTCCTCAATCCATATACACAGCCATTCTCACTCTTGTAATTTTTGTGGCCTTACTTGTCCCATTATACCAATCACAGGTAAGGTAATCTCTGTCTGTTCATGTTGTATCATTCTCCTCCCACACACCTTCTACTCCCAAACTTGCTTTGTGACCATAAAAAATCAGAACAGGAGTAGACCGTTTGATCTCTCAAGCCTGCTCTGCCATTCAGTAGGATATGACTGATCTGACATTTCTCCTATCCACTTTCCTGTCTTATCCCCATAACCCCTGATTCACCTGAGTGATCAAGAATTTAACATTCTCAGCCTTAAATATACATAAGGACTCTGGCCCCATCCCTGTCTGTGCAAGAAGTTCCAGAGACACTCAACACTCTGAGAGAAGAAATTCCTCATCTTAAATCTTAAATTGGAACCTCTTTGTTCTGAGGCTATGCCATCTTGCCCTCTATTTTCTCATGATTGCAAACATTCTGTCAACATTTACCCTGTCAAGCCCATTAAGAATCCTGTATGTTTGAATGATTCTTCTGTGCACAACCACGGTTTTAAAAATGTCATTGTTTTGGGTGACTGGAGCATTAGAGAAATATTAAAAACTTAAGTTGTGCAGGGAGGTCCCAAATTTTTACAAGCTGGTTCATGTGGACTCCAGGGTCACTGTAACCACTGGTTCACAAAATGGATGCAGCAATCTGCAAAGGAACCAGTAAGTTGTTCCATTCATCTGATAGCACTTAAAGATTCTGAATGCCCCACTTGAAAACAATGTCTGGATTTCAGACACCACTATTTTTCAGAGAGCCAGCTTTGAGATATTGTACCTGTATTGCATCCACAATAACTATGTAACTTGCATTTAGTTTGGACTTCAAAGCTTCATGTATTTTTTTTAAAGTATGAGGCCATGATTAGATCAATTACTGGAGCATACTAGTTTTAGATTATTTTCATTTTTGTGTGAAGATGAACCTGCTAAACCGGATGGTGGATCAGCCAAAACTGCTACTTTAGTCTCTCAAGCTTTGTGTATCTCAAAATCTGTTGGCTTTTCAAAAACAGAGAATGTCAAGATAACTGGTTATATCAAAGTTCAAACAAAAGCTTACAATATTCTGAGCTTGTAGTATTACTTTTTGTCATTAACAAGAAGGTGAAAATATTGCATTTTATTGACTTAAGTGAGCATAATATTTTCGTTTTGTAGTCACATTTATTAGCATTGTTGTGTAACAGATGCAATCTTGTCTGAAGGTCATGAGCAAGGTACTAGTTTTTTTTACCCCCCCCTACATTCTTTCCAACATGCAGTGGCTGTGTTTATTATCTGCAATTAATGTCTAAGTAACTTTTTATTTTCTGAAAAGCACTTTAACTTACAGCTTCTTTCAATTAAATGATATGTGTTCGTGTACTTAACTTTTACAGTGCATGCAGGTTTATCTGTTGTTTAATGTTTGAACATATTTCTGCATGATCATTTGTTTCAGGCTTGAGCTGGTATAGATCTGGTTGGTCATAGCTGTCTGCCATTCATATGACATTGTTAGATGACCAAAATCTTCCCTAAGCTGCTGTGTGCAGAATTAGTGGCACGCTGTTGTGATTATATGGCTCTTTTCAAAGAATTGCCTAACAGATTTTCAAACAAGTGTTATACCCTGGTCTAGAACTTAGAAGAGAATTATTTACGCATTTCCTGTGATTATCATAAGATATGAAACATGGGCTTCAAAGTTTATTGTGGCCCCTCTGCTACTAAAGTCCCACATTAGCTTGCCAATGGATGGAGTAAATTTACTAGAACAGTGGTTTGGATTTTCTAGTTATGTCATGGAAGCCCACTTAGACTGAATGGATTGCTGTTGTATTGAGTCGCAAACCACTGATTCTATTTCTCCACTTCTGCAAGGAGCCCAGGAGATTTGGGCTTCACTGTGTAGACCAGCACTTATTTCCTATTCTTAGTTTGCCTTGAATAGGTGGTAGTGAGGTGCCCTCTTGAACCACTGCAGACCATTTTGTGTAGGGTGAAGATCCAGGATTTTGACCGAACCATACTGAAAGAATAGCAATTGTATTTCCAAGTCAGGGTGGTGAATGGCTTGGAGCAGAATTTGCAAGTGGAGATGTTCCCATGTATCTGCTGCTCTGATCATTCCAGATGGTATTAGTCATTGGTTTGCCAAGAAAGTCTTGGGTGAAGTTTGTAGGTGGTATATTCTGCTGCTACTGTGTGTGAAAGGAATGTGTATTTGAGTATATGGTGGCAATCATGCAGACTGCTTTACCCTGGATGGTGTCAAAATTCTTGAAGATTGTCAGAATTGCACTCATCCAGGCAGGTGGTGAGTATTGAATCACAATCCTGACTTGTGCCTTGTAGATGGTGTACAAGCTTTGGGGAGTCATGAGGTGAATTATTCGCTCAGGGGTTCCTAGTCTCTGGTCTATTGTTGTAGTAACAGTTTCTTTGTGATCATACATAACTCCAGGAAGTTGACAGTGGGGAGTTCAGTGATGTTAATGCCATTGAATTTCATGGTATGGTTAGATTCTCTCTTGTGGGAAATGGTCGTTACCCGGCATTTGTATACCGCAGAGGATACTTATCACGTGTCAGCATAAACTTGGATATTGCCCAAGTCTTGTTGCATTTGGGTATGAATTGCTTCAGTATTTTGAGTCAATGTGGATGGTGCTGAACATTGTGCAATCTCCACTTCTGACCTTTTCACGGACGGAAGGTACTTGATAGAGCAGCTAAAGATGGTTAGGCCTCGGATATTATTCTGAGGAGTTCATACAGAGGCATTCAGGAGCTGAGAACACCGACTGTGAACAATCGCAGCCATCTTCCATTGCACTCAGTATAACACCCAGCAGGGAATTCCCATCCTAATTCCCAATTACTCTGCTTTCATTAGAGCCCCTCGATGCTGCACTCAGTCACATACCATCTTGAAGTCAAGGGCAGTCCCCCTTACCTCACCTTTTTGGAATTCAACTTATCTGCCCATATTTGGTCCAAGGCTGAAATTAATTTGGGAGCTGAGTGATTGGGTTCTGCTGGAGCAATGTGTGAACAGATTATTCCGAAGCAAGTGCTGCTTCAGATCACTCTTGATGACTGTTTCCATCAAATTACTCATGATTGAGAGCAGATTGATGGGTCGATAATTGATCAGGCTTGATTTGTCCTGCTTCTTGTCTACAGGACATAGCTAGGTAGTTTTCCACATTGTCAGGTAGGTGATAATGTTGTAGCTGTACTGGAACAGCTTGGGTAGGTGAGTGGTAGGTTCTTGAGCAAGTCTTCAGTACTATAGCTGGAATGCTGTCAGGACCCAGAGATCTTGGAGTATCCAGTTCACTGAGGCGGCATGTGGTAATCATTAGGAGGCTTCCTTACCATTGTTTGAAACACTGTGGGGTCTGGAGTCAATATTGAGGACTTCCATGACAATACCCTCAGAAATATCATATGCCACCACTTCTCTAGGTCTGTTTTGTTGCTAGGATGGGACCTAGCTAGGGATTTGATAGTGCTGTCTAGGACATAATATGGTATGATTCTATGAATCTGCCAAGTTGCTTGACTAGTCTGAGATTGCTCTCCCAGCTTGGGCAGTAGCCAAATATGTTATAAGGAGGACTTTTACAGGATTGACAGGATTGAGTTTGCCATTGTTGTTTCCAGTACCTTGGTCAATGTTATCTAGGGCATGTGATTTAATTCCCTTTTGGAGATTTTTCCAGGGTTAGATTGAATGGCTTGCTAGGTTTTTCAATAGTCAACCATGTTGCTATGGGTCTACAGTCATATGTAGGCCAGACCAGTTAAGCAGCTCCTTCCCAGAAGGACCTTTGTGAATCAGCTGAGATTTTGCGACCATTGACTTTGGGTTAATGGTCATAATTAGACTGTTCTTTCCAGATTTTTTTTTTTAAATTGGAATTCCACTATCTGCCTCGGTAGAATTTGGAGCTGGAGCCTCATAACATTTCCTAGATCTCTGGATTAATAGTTCAGTGAGGGTGGCAGGACAGGTGGAGAGAGCAGTTAATAAAATGTGTCGTGTTCTTGGCTTTATTAATAGGGATACAGAGTACAAGAGCAGGGAGGTGATGTTGAACTTGTATCAGATACTTGTTAGATTTCAACTGGATTATTCTACCAGTGTGTGCACCACATTGTGGAAGAGATGTGAACACTTTAGAAGTGATTGACAAGAATGAGAAGCTTCAGTTATGAGAAAAGATTAACAAGTTGGGATTGTTCTCCTTGGAGAGAAGAAGGCAGAGAGGAGATTTGATGAAGGTTTTCAAAATTATGAACATGCTAAGTAGGATTGACAGGGTTGAATACTAAATAAAAAATCATAAGAACTGTGGATGCTATAAATCAGAAACAAACAGAAGTTACTGGAAAAGCTCAGCAGGTCTGTGAAGAGAAATTAGAGTTAAGTTTCAGGTCAGTGACCCTTCCTCACAACTGTAAGGATGGCAGATTTCTTTCCCAAAAAGACATTTGTGAATTATGGAAGTTTATCTGAATCAACGTTGTAATACTGGTCATAATTAGAATTTTATTTTCAAATTCGACCAGCTGCCTTAGTTGGTCTGGGCACCGAACTGGAGCTGCACAGTCGCAGGAGGTGCTCTGACAAATGACCTCAGTTTAGGAATCGGAGTTCCAGAATAGTATTGGACAGTAAAATGCAGCATAAAATGGTATGTGTGTTTTTATTTTGCAAGTTTCTCTGCAATGTGCTCCAGTAAACTTGTCTATTCCCATTTGAAGGTGGTAAGAGCTGCTGAAGAAGCTGCTTCCACATTGGCAAGTTCCATCCATCCTGAACAGTGTATTAAAGTGCTCTGCCCCATCATCCAGACTGCTGACTATCCCATCAATTTAGCTGCCATTAAAATGCAAACAAAAGTGACAGAGCGGATCTCCAAGGAGTCTCTGCATCAGCTTCTTCCAGATATCATCCCAGGATTGCTTCAGGTACGTGCAGCTCAAATATTTATGTAAAATAGTATACCTCAGCAATTAAATTCACTGTTCAGTGAACAAACTGATAACATCGCCAAAAATAAATGAAGCTGATCTCTTTGGGCACTTGTTTCACCAGTAGACCTTATGCCTGCAGGAAGAAAACAGGAGGTTGTCCCAATTATATCTTTGGACAACTACCTTCAGGGCAGGAGTAGGTCAACTAATAAACCAAAGCTAAAGAATATTTTTCAAGGTCCACTGAAAAAACTGAAATGTTCAATGCTAGATTACTGACTCGCATCAAATAAGACATAATCCATTTTCTGTTGTTTTTGGTATCATGTACTGATCGACCAGTTTTTAAAAAATCTTTATTATATTTGTACTGTTATAAATTCACCATGGATAACAAGTGATCTGCATATGTTTCATTGTATTGATTATGAAGTGACCTTAGTAAAAAATTTATGACTTCCAAATCTGAATGCAATCCAATTGGTCTTCTCTTGTGTTAATTTCCTCTCAGCTAGTGGTGCCTTTCTGAAAGTCCTTGTTGGGTTCGTTCTGGAGTGTTTCTTTCTTCCTGAGCTTCCTGGGCGCATCCTCTAACTTGGTGTCATTTTTATTGTTTTGCCAGTAAACCTGGAGTAGTTTGAACCGTTCAAGTTCATGAAGTATACATCAGATACAAGAAATATGATGAAATTGATACTTTTAAATTATCAAATACGTAGGAATTGTAGCCCAGACTGCATCAAAATTTTAGGAAAGCTAATATTTTGTGTTGAATGTTCACAATGATGTTTTTTCTAGTTTCTTTTGTCAGTAGTAGCTCAGTTGGTAGCATTATTGTCTCTGGGTCCGAAGGTTGTGGATTCAAGGCCCCTTCAGGACTGAGTGCAAAAGTCTGACCAGAGTAGTATAGTACTGGGGCAGTGCTACACTCCGGGTTACTATTTTTTAGAAGAAACATTAGAGATCTAGTCTACCACTTCAGGTGGACTTAAAACATCCTGTGATTGTATTTCAATGTACATTAGGCAGTGCTTGTAATTTATCTTTAAGGCTCCAAATCCAGACTGATAACAATACCATTAGCTCAGCTGGCAGTTTTGTTTGACAATTTGAGTGAATTGTTCACTTTGCTGTTATGAACATCTTTGAAAGGAATATTTGTTTCTTCACCACTTCTCTTTCGTCAAGAGGTGTAACAACATGTTTGAAGCATCCTGTTATTGATGCTCTAATGGTCTGTCGAGATGATACCTTTCATATGGTTGTAGAATCAACAGTTTTTCTTCCAAACCATGACTTTTTAAAAATTTTCTGTTCCATTTTTGCCATTGGTTATGAACATAGTTCGTACTGGGTGAATGGACTCAAGTGTCTAAGGGGCTATGGTAATATTGTTGGGGGAGGCGTGTAATGAGTTGGCATGGCAGGTTTAGGAGGTCATGGATTGTGTTAACTGATGGTTGGGAGCTACAGCATGTTCTAGATTATCTGAAACAACTGGGGTGTAGTCTCAGGTAATAGAGGTAGGGGAGGCAACGGTCTAGTGGTTTTATCTCTGGACTGTTGATCCCTTCCCCCCACCTGCTCTTCCCCTTCACCTTCTTCCCTCCCAACCCAACCCCCCCACCCCCCCACCAACCCCCCACCCCTTTCCCCTTCTTTTCCCCCCGCCCTTCACCACCTTCCCCCCCCCCCCCCACTCTCTCTCTTTCCCCCCACCTGCTCTTCCCCTTCTTCCTCCCCCTCCTTCTTCCTTCCCGCCCCCCCCACCTGCTCTTCCCTTCTTTTTTAAAGGAAATCACCATGGCTACAGAAATTCTTGCAAGTCAATCCTTCAGGTACAAGGAAGAAAACCCACGTGTCACTAGCTCAAATCATTAAATATAGATTGTACACATTCCAAAGACTGTATGGGCGGTTAACTAGAGTCTTACTGGGGGAATTTAGTTATAATGAGATTAAAGAAGGTTGAGGCTGTTTCTTATAACAGAGAATATTGTGAGCCAGTTGCAATTTTCAAGACAACAAATGGTTCAGATGGAATGGAGCAAAACTGTGTATCAATAACCAGGTGTTGTACTTTAAAAATCATTGGCTGAAGATAAAAGAAAGGACAATGAGAGTTTTCAGAGTTGCGAAAAATTTAAATGCAATACTTGAAAAGTAGTTGGGAGTTGTTCTCGTAAGTGGTTGAAAAGTTTGGCAATACTGTAACCAAAAACATCGTGTATGGGATGAAGTACGTTATCTGTCATCTCTGCAAGCACAGTGGACAGAATGAAGCCTCCTGTGTCAAATGATTGTATTCTGTTGGAAGTACTTGCGCTTTCAGCAGTTTTCATTTACTGTTTTTTATAATTTTTTTTTTAAAAGGGCTATGACAACACAGAAAGCAGTGTGCGTAAAGCAAGTGTATTCTGCTTGGTGGCAATTTATTCTGTAATTGGAGAGGAGCTGAAACCTTACCTTGCACAGCTCACAGGAAGTAAGGTAGGTTTACTTGCATGAAGTCCTACATTTTAGTGTTGCCTCTTCTTTATAGCCTTTGTTTAATTGTAAATTTGGAACACTGGCTTAGAACTGTATTAGAAATTGAACTGGTTAAAGTCTTCTGTTAAAAGTAATCAAGAATAAAGTCATCAGAATATGCTAGGATTCTACTAATACTACACAGTATGCTTTCAAACCATTAGGATTTCTGATAGAATAATACTGAGTAAAACTGATCCAGTTGAAAACCTTGTATTATTTGAATACAGGTAATATTTAGTGCGAATTGGTCTTTCCTGAGTCAACTTCCTGATTCCTGAATTCATTGATCAGCTGAGCGAACCTTTACTGCACCAGCTGAAGTCAGCATCCCCCAGAATGAGTTGGTTGGGCAGATGGATGTGAGGGAGCTTCTGTTTTAGTCACTCATGTGAAGATGGGAGAAGGTGGTATAACAGTAATGTCGGTGGGCTAGTAATCCAGAATCCCAGGCTAATGATCTGGGAACGGTGGTGCACATCCCACCAAGTGGCAGATGGTGAAATTTGAATCTAGCAAAAATCTGGGATATAAAGCTCATCTAATGACACCCATGTAATCACTGTTTTAAGATCCTATCTGGTTCACTAATGTACTTTTTAAGGAAGGAAGTCTTCCATCCTTACATTGACTGGGCTACATAACTCCACGCCCACAGCTTTGTGGCTGAACCTCTGAGGCAAAAAATGCTGAAATGACCAGTGATATCCACATCCCATGAATAAATAAAAGCAAATGGCCATTTGGGTTGTCAATGGAAATTCCAGGTAGTCTGTTTGGAGGTAGATGGGAGGAAGAATAGTATTAGAGTTATTTCAGTGGATGAATAAACATAATTCCATCTATTAAAAATTGTAACCAGTTAGGAATACCTATTGCTGGCCTTGGAAGAGTCAAAGTTCTCAAACCTTAATAAACTGAATTATCCTCTGAGGGGTATAGATAGTGTTACTGGTAGTTGTCAGTTTCCTAGGATGGAGGATTTCAAAATGGGGGCACATTTTTAAGGTGAGAGGAGAGATTTAAATGAGGGGCGAATTTTTTACACAGAGCGTTCTTCGGGTGTAGTGGGAACTTCCTAAGGAAGTGGTAGATGTGTGTGTAATTCAAATGTTTAAAAGACGTTTGTATAAGTATGTGAATAGGAAAGGTTTGGAGGGATATGGGCCAGGATCAGGCAAGTGGGGCTGTTTAGTTTGGGATTACGTTCGGTATGTACTGGTTGGACCAAAGGGTCTCTTTCCATGCTCTGACTCTACGGTGACCAATGGATTTAAAAAAAAATTTACTTGTCTTCAGAAAGTACCTTGGCTGAAATGACACAGCAACTTGCATTTTTAGCGTTTGACATTAAAGTAGCACCAGAGTGATTTATCTGTGGTTCAGGGAGAACTGGATACAAAGAATGGAGGTCAGATCAATGAAAGAGTTAAGGGAAGTTCATAAAATCCCCGCAGTGTGGAAACGGACCATTCCACCCAATAAGTCCACGCCATTCCCCAAAGAGCATCCCACCCAGACCCTTCCCCCTAAACCTGCATTTCCCACAGCTAATGCACCTAACCCACACTATTGGTAATTTAGCATAGCCAATCCATCTGCACATCTTTGGACTGTGGGAGGAAACCAGAGCACCCAGCAGAAACCCACGCAGACACGGTGAGAACGTGCAACTCTACACAGTTAGTTGACCGAGGACGGAATCCAACCTGGGTGCCTGGCACTATGAGGCAATGGTGCTAACCACTGAGCCACCGTGCCACACCAGTTGCTGGAGATGCAGTCAGAGTTTGATTTTATGGAGGCTTGCGAAGATGGGTAGAATGTGTAGCAAGAAGTGAAGTTGGTAAAGACATTTGAATATGAGAACAAAGTGGGTAATGATTCTGCCACACCTGGGACTTGGAAAGTGCGGTGAAAAGCATGGTAGACCAATATAAGGACCTTGGTTCAAGTAGAAAGTGCACAGTCGTGTAAAAATAAATTGCCCTCTTCTACCTCAGTCTTTGTGTAACTCAAAATGTTTAGAGTTTGGTAGTATATGTAAATTACCACTGTTGTGTCAATTTAGCCTCTGCTGTTGACAGATTAATCAAAAGGTAAGTAACCTAAAACTGATGTGCAACACAAGACTAAGGGTGTAGCAGAAACAGGTGTGGCTTACTGAAAAATAAATCTTAAAGTGGCATTATTTTGGCCATGACATAAAAGACTGATGTTGGAGAAGTGGGTTATAATTAGTGGGGCACTTGCCCAGTACTGGGGAAAAAATGGGCTCTGTACCAATAGGATGGTCTCCACCTGATCTGAGCTGGAGCAGCGGTTCTTGCCGACCACATAAGTAGGAGTCAATAATGAGTTTAAATTAAATAGTAGGGGCAATGGATCGAATTTGGGAAGATGTGATAAATCAAAACATAGAGTCAAGGCCAAAGAGAAAGGTAGTAATGTGGATAATGATAAGCATCCTATGACAGGAAGGGATAGAGTGTTATAATTATCGTGAAGACAAACTTGGCAGCAATTTGTACTTTGCTAGACCCTACCTAAAGTGATGCAGTATGTGAGCATTGAGCTACATCAATTTGGTTTATTCATTCTTGGTTTGTCAGCATAACTGGCATAGGTGGCATTTACTTACCAGGTGTCCAAGAACTCAGTGGTTTCTTGGGCCATCTGAGAGAATGTTGAAGAGTCAACCCCAGTTGTCATTGTGGGATGTGAGTTCATCTTTCAGAGCACTAGTCCAACCCTCTAGATTAATTGTTCGCTATTTTCCCCATTTAGTTCAAGCAAGTATTAATATGAATTGTCTTTTATTAAATCTGATTGATGTCCGACTCTCTTGCAGATGAAATTACTGAACTTATACATAAAAAGAGCCCAGACAACAAACAGCAACAGTAGCTCATCGTCAGATGTGTCAAGTCATAGTTAACGGATGGCAATCATGCTTATTTAGATGGATGAAGCCGTGCCTCTTCAGAGACCTGTCCAGATTTTGAAATCCACGTGCCCTTGGAGTGAAAAATTGCTGCACATCAGTGTTTGTTCTTAAGTAATATATGCAGTTGCTTAGCTTTAATCTTACAGCTGTTACTTGATCATAATGTGATGCCTGTTTAATATGTGACCTAGAATAAAAGAAGGCCTATAGTGAGTCTTTAACAGTCCAGTGCTGACATCAAGTTAAGCAGCAAGTGAAGGTTAGGTTACTGTCATCTTTAAACCTGGAGTATGTGAAGTACATACGAGTATTATTCCACGTGGTGTAATTTTAAGTATTATACATAAAATATTTGCTGTTAAATTACACTAGAAATGACATTGCTAAACTTTTTCTTAGCAGCTAATAGTTTAGACATGTCAAGTTCATGCTAAGCCAAATGATATCTCACTGGACTGGACTATTATTACTGCAGAAGACTGAAGCAACTTTTCACTGCTGCTGCCAGTATTTAACACTTTAGGTTTTAAATTGCATCCATCTTACAATTGAAGATTTGCATGGCAGCACTAAAAAGGCATGATCCTCCTTTTGTGGGAACTGTAACACTGCAGTTTGGTAAGGACTAGTTACTGTGTTATGGAATTTCTTTTTTAAAACTATTGTACTTCTTTCTCACTATCAGTTCCACTTCTCTTTCCTTCCCCATCCCTGGATAATTGCCACCACCTATTTGGAAATGCAGAAGGAAGCTTGTTGTATATCCCTGCCTTTGAAATGGGTGCATCTATCCTTGTCTTAGCAAGAACTGAGAAAAGTCATCTAATTAATGCACCCAAGATAACATCAGCCCGAAAATGAAATCCAGATCTGTAGTTCTGTTTATGACGCCTACCCTTCAGAATTTTGGAAACACCCATTTATCTTGCAATATTACATTTTATGTGACGGAACGTACAAACCACTGAATTTCTGAATCTAATTTAAATCTAATATGGAATTTAGCAGATCTATGTTACCGTTTCTTTAAATGAATTGGAGTGAAGTCGGGAAGAAAAGCTGAAATGATCATGCAAATATCATCATTGCAGTTTAGTTTCCAATTTGGCTGCCTGAATTATGATCCGCTGAAGGTGATGATCTGTCCCATCGTGATTTTTACATTCTGCTGTGGTGGAAACAATTCCATGGGATTGGTATAAATCACCTGTCTGCAATTATTCTTGTCCCCCATGTTGTATGAGTATGCAAACTGTGCAGTAGTAATACGTAATTGCTTAAAAACTTGAATGTCAACAGCCTTCCCTATCTGCATCTTTCTGGTCGCCATCTTTGGTTATGATTGTCCCATCTTCATAAAAATTTGTATGCTCTGATGTTGTTTGTTGTTTTTCCAGTCCTGTATTTTGTGGACTTTGCCACAAGAGATTTCTTCATCAGTTGTATCACACTTTTTGTTATTTCCCAGAATTGTTTATGCCAGTTTTGAATCAGTTGTGGGAAACTTTTCTTTTCCTCTATTCAGTCATGAATCGTACTTTAATTTTCCTTTAATTCAGTAGCTTCTGAATTCTAACATTTGAAGAAAGGATAATGATCAAAAGATTTCCATTGTTCAAGCTGAAATGCCTCAAGCAAAAGCCCTTTCTTAAAAGCTCAAGTTGTGCAACAGAGACAGACTTGAGTAGTGCTTGAAAAAAGACAAGTTATTAAAATTTCTTGTCTTGCACTCATGCTGTATTATCCTGTACTGTTGAATGCAAGGGGAAAAGCATTTCTTAGCAATTTTCATGTTCTATATGACAGAACTTCTCAAGCTCAGTCATCTAACAATGACAAAATCGACAAAAACCATTGAGGGATCGGAACGACCAAGTATCATCTTCTGTGGCCATGTTTGTTTCCGCATTGTTTTCTAGGTTGACATCAGGTTTCTTTTAAAGAGAAGAATATTTATCTAGAGCAAAGAACTGCCCACCTGAGGATGGTGTCTTAATGGTAATGTTCAGGAGGTACGGGTCCAAATTCTACCTCAGCAACTTAATTCTTTCATAGGAAGTTTCACTTGCTGGCAGGGCCAAGATTTGTTGCCTGTCCCTAATTGCCCTTAAGCTGAATACTTGGTACACCATTTCAGAGGTCAGCTAAGAGTGAACCACATTAATGTAGACTTGGTGTCACATGTAGGTCAGACTGGCTAAAGATGGCACATTTTCTTCCCGAAGGATATTAATGAGCTAATTGGGATTTTTTGATGATAGTTGTTGTGGTCACCATTATTAGGCTAGCTTTATATTCCAAATGTTAGTAACTGAGGTTAACTTCAATCAGCTGCTTTTATACAGTTTGAATCCATGTCCCCCTGGGGAGTTATCCTGGGCCTCTGAATTACGAGTTGTTGTATTACTACAATGCCACCATCTGAAATATATAAAGCTAGCTGTAGTAAAGAGTGATCATCAAAATATCATTGATTGTCATAAAAGCCTATCTTATTCACTAATGTCATTTAGAGAAGGAAATCTGCCATCCTTGCCTTGTTTGCCCAATAATTGACACCAGATCTGCAGCAATATGGTTGACCCTAATTGCCCTCTGAAATGACCTAGCAAGTCGCTCAGTTCAAGTGCATTTAGGGAGGTTAACAAATGATGGTCTTGCCAGCGACACTCCCTTCCCATGAAAAATGATGCTGTGACCACCCCACCAGATCGTACGCTGGTGTCCTTTCCTTTTTTAACTTGAGGTAAAAAAGGCCATAGGAAGATTACTTCCAGGAAATGAAGTCCAAAGCATTCCTGTTCCCAAGTAATGTTTAACCCATTGGTTAGTTGGCTTTTAAATTTCTATCAGAGGATTGGTCAACATCCTGTAGAATACATGGAAAAATAATCAGACAATCATGTGAGTAACTAACCAAAACACCTTCTGATTTGAACTTGCCTTCAAAGTAATAATGCAATTTGGTAGTAGAGCTGTACTCAAATCTAGGTCTCTGCATGTGATCTTTCTATCTCCTTAAATTGTAGATTTGCTTCCTGAAGTGGCATAATTGTTATCACCCTCGCATTGTAACATTGTTACTCTCCTCCATTCCCTGATTCCCAACTTCTCCAATGTGTCTAACATTTTGATGTAGATACTTATTCGGGAGTTTTGGGTATTAGTGTGATACTTACCTTAGTAATTATATTTTTTTTAAACATTTTCATGTTATTTTGAGTTTTAAATATTCTGTTGACCTTCATTTTAGTTGAAATTTCAGCTCCCTCCAATGTCAAATAATTTCTTAAAATTTTTTCCACTTTACAGTCCATTCATTTATTTGCCCCCTCCCCCACTTAAGTGGAGTCCATGTGATTCCCACCATGCACGCACGAATGCGCGCACACACACTCACTCACTCTCCCGGATGCTTTGTTGAGGGAGAGAAAAGCTAAAGTTGGTCACCTGGGGGAGCTGTTGTAGGATGCAGATGTTACATTAGTTTGTTCAGGATGTTGTCCTTGCAAGTTTCCTTCACATATTTTACTCTGTAGTAAGTAGAAGTTAATTTTGATTTTTAAAGAATCTTGATTCAGCTTACAGGTGGTTGACCCAGGTACTATCACTTGCCTTTCATATGTTTAATATGGCGTAAGTGTTAGCAGCATTAGCTAAGTGCAACAGCAGAAACTCACCAAGTAAACTTGGTATTCTAAATAATTTCTAAATTTAGGTTGGACTAAAGTTATCTGGCCCCAAATTGACTGGTTATTCCTCTTGTGTACCAACATTGGAAACCTATTGGATATTTTTATGTAGAGTGTTCATCATGATCCTTTTTTAATTTGTTTATTGTATTTTATGTTCGTGTACCATTTATAAAAATGAAATAATCCAAATGTTTTTAGTTATTTTTCTTGGAATTAAAGGCATGGATGTACTGTTACATGCCACCAATTGTTTCATCTTTTCATTTTACTTTTGTAAAACAGTTTGAAATGTGAATGAACTTTTTTGAACTCTAAGTGAGCTTAGCACTGTGGCTGACATCTACTCAGATTCAAAAGTGATCAGTGCAGTAAATGCACAGCTGGTGAAAAGATATTTCCATGATTGTTCTCAACTTTGTGACTTTTATGCCTTCAAATTGTGGAGTTTTGTATTCTATTCTTTACAATGCAATTAATTTTACAAGACTACTTTAATTGTATGGCTGGTGTACAAAATTAAGAATACCCTAATACCCTCTTGCGCACTAGAAATGTAACAAAACTTCGTATTGAATGCATTCTCCTCCTGGATTTATGTGATATTTGTTAAATTCATGCCTGCACTGTTGGGACCAAAAACCCCAATTGGAGGAGAAAATTTGGAGCAATTATGCTCCAGGATTATTTTTTATTTTTAAGATTAGACAACTGTACGTTTAATGAATCATGTTTCAAAAATGTGGCTTTAAAGAAGGCATAAATTGTCCATTGTGGTGACTGACTGGCAAGACATGTAGTGCTCAACACTGGCAGATTTTGATTTGAAAATAAATGCCCTTTATAGCAAATGGATTTATCAGATGTAACTCAAAATCACAACTATTTTCAGTATCCATTTTGTTGAATATGGTTTGGCATGTTAACTTTCAAAAATACTTAATATCTCTGTTTTAAGGTATATACGTCATTGCAATGTTCATAAAGCTATTTTAAGCTGTATATACTGTGATTAAAGGATAATTAAGCAATCTGAAGTTGACTCTATACTTGGAGGATGTTTGATTGTTGTATGCTATGCTGTTCCTCTACTGTTATGTTTTCTCAGACCCCTGTCTCCCCAACACAATGCCTCACCCCTCCCACTATTTCCCTGCTACAAATCCTCTGCATTCATGTTATGACAATAATGGGCCTTCTTTTATTCCTTTCAACTTTTGTGCTATAGGCAGGTAAATGATTGGATGTGTGATTTCTTTTGTTTCTGTGAAGAGGAAAGGATTGCTGCTGTTGTAATTTTCTTGAACTATTGGATGTATAGGAAAGGACCTCAACTAATTTTCAAAATGGTTGCTTTCCTGAAATATCTAGTACAATCTACTCTGCCATGTTTGAGTTATGAACAAAAAGTTCTGTATTGTTTTGCTAGAACTGACTGAAATTTCACACCTCAAAAGTCAGCCTGCATGTTGCAGCAGTGTCGCCTTTGCCATTCATCCATCAGCTGCACGAATGGTCTAGGCATGGATGACCGAAATTATACAATCCTAGTGTTTTTACTTGTTTAGTCCTATGGTGGTGTTCTGTTTTGAGGCATGTGGCTTTTTTTAAAGGTACACTATGTGTGCTCGCCTTGAACTTAAACTAACTGCAGAAACAAAACTGATGCCAAGAGTTTTTTTTTTGTCATCTGTTTTATGATAGCATACTAACTTAACAGCTTACAGAGACTGTGGATAAGTAATGTACATCACTGTCACAAGAATGCCCTTCCCTTGATATATAATCAAGCTTACTGTTAAATGAGGGATGGAAGCCAAGTTTTTTAGACTTTACCAGAACTTTGCTAAACTAGTTTAAAATGAAAATATTGGAGACACATCAATCATCAGAATGGTTCCTAGCAGAGTGTTCATTGCGCATGTACCTTTTTTCTTGCTTTTGTCATATAATATCCATATCGGTATTTATATTATTTTTCATCTGTGTGTATTATGGCAACTGTACAGATAACTACATGGGTTTTGTTAACTTTCACCTGTTGATAGAATTTGCTAAAGAAAAGCAACAAAGTAAAACTTTTAAGTTTGCTGTAGAATAAAACCCTACATGAAGAGTTTGACAACTGTTAAGCCTTTTCATTTGTTCATGAAAAATGCACCTTGAAATCGATATTTCTTTTAGGCACTTGTACAGGGAATAAAGAATAAAGATTCAAAGGAGATTTTGAAGAATTCATTTTCTTTGAGGAATACCTTAGTCTTGCTGTTTGTCACTTAGTTGCTGATCATTAGGTCTCCTCTTTTTGGGTCTGCTGATAGCTGTTATGATCAATGTTTCTCTCTCCTCGGGTTTGAGTTTTCTCTCCCCTCCAGTCTGCCTTTTCCCCCCACGACTCAAAGCTATGATAACTGATGCCTCAATCCTTGCTGAATACTGTCCTAGCTCTTAAATTCCTTATCCTCCCCAAAGTCCTTGAAGAGGTGGATACCACAGAAATCTGTGCCCATTTTTCTTGGAACTTTGTTTGCATTCTTTCAGTTAGGTCTCCATTGTTACCAAAGTTGCTTTTTCATCAAGATTACAAATTGTATCCCACGTGATTGTGACAAAGATAAATTTAATCACCATTTTCATTTTTGACCTATCTATAGTCATTGATGAGGTGAAACACCATAAGCCCCTCCAACACTTCTCCACTATTAGAGCTGGATGGGACTGTGCAAGCTTTGTCCAATTTATGTATCTAGTTTTAGCCAGAGAATCACTTGCAATGCCTTACTTCATTGCTTCCCCACTGTTACATCTGGAGGGGACAGAGTTATCCTTAGACTGCTATTTCTCAGCTTTTTGCTGCTCCCTAAGAGCATCATCGAAAAAAAGGCATTAGTTTTCATAGGTCCAATGTCTGTACACAGCTCTCTCTCTCTCTGCTCTTCTACTGTCTCTAAATTGTCAAACTGATCACATGGCATCTTGTGCTGGATGATCAGAAGTTTCTTCAAATTGGATATTCATAAAACCACTGTCCTCCTGACGAATTTGCATCCGAAACACTGAATTTGTCCTTTTACCGACTGCCTTAATGCTGAAAGTTTGCAACTTTGGGGTCATATTTCAACCAAAAATGAGCACCCAATGACATATCTCCTTACCATCACTAAGACTGCCTATTTTCCTCTCGGTGGCCCTAGCTAACTCCATCCACATCTCAGCCCATTTGATGGTAATATCTCACCCATGCCCTGGTTACTTGTGGATTTTCATCTTCCTCGGGTATGTTACCTACCTTGGGGTCAACTGAAATTCTGCTGCATGTGGCCAGACCATCAATGAGGCAGACCTGTTTCATATGTCATCCCTATGTTCCCTTTTCACCTGTATCGTCTCTTGGTTAAGCTTTGAGTATGTTGAATTCAAAATTTGCATCCATTTTCTTTTTTTTAAATACCTCTCTGGTCTCGGTCTCGGTCTCATTTTTGCAATGTTTAGCCTCAAAGCCCTCTTACAAATGCAATATTCTAATTGTTATCTCATGACATCCCCAATCTTAATTCCTTCACCATTAATGGAGATCTCTTTAGCTGCCAATGCTGCATACCCTGACCTCTCCACTGTTTCCTACCTTGCTGTGCTGCTTTAGGTTTCTCCTGAGAAACTACCTCTGACTAGACCTTTGGCCATCTGTCCTTTTTAATTTTCTTTAGTGACTTTTTTGTTTTATAACACTTCTGTGCAACGTGATAAATTTTATTTTTATTAAAGATGGCGGTTTGTAAAAGTATGGTTGGAAACAGTAGTTCAATACCAAAAAGGCTTGTTTCAGTAAGTACACCTTAGCTGCTAATCTCCCTGTCAGATGAGCATCATGAACTGAAGTCAAGTGCTGCATAATCCACTAGAAACTGGCATGCTTGGCTATCAATTTTTTGCAACAGTTGCCTTCAATGTATAACTAGGTATATCATATTAACTTTAAAAAAACTTGAATGGAACGGTTCTTCCATTTTGTAGAGAATGTTAATATTTCATTGTCGTGATTACCAAGTAATTTGGCAAATGGATTAAAATAAACTCTAAACTGTGTACTTGGCTTTATAACTTTCTCACAGGATCCTTCTCTTGTAAATTAGCTTCTGTGAAGTTATTACAAGGATTAAATTGTCAGTAATATATTGATATCAACATTACTATTTTATTCAGTGATCAATATATGAAATATATCTCATTTATAGAGAGAATAAAAAATTCTGGAATTGTCAGCTCACCAAGCATCAGTGCTGTGTGATGAGACATTTCATTTTGAGCATCTGTTCTTTGCATCAAGTGCTCAATGACAATTTAAACTATTTTGAGAACAATGTTTTTTATGATTATGCTGCAATAACATACATGATGTGGAGGTGCCTGTGTTGGACTGGGGTGGGCAAAGTCAAAAATCTCACAACACCAGGTTACAGTCCAATGGGTTTATTTGAAATTGCAAGCTTTTGGAGTGCTGCTCCTTCATCAGATGCAATGAGAGAGGGCACACAGACGCAGTATTTGTAGGCAGAGAGATCTCTCAGCCTACAAGTTCTGTGTCTGTGTGTCCTCTCACTGCACCTGACGAAAAAGTGGCGCTTCGAAAGCTTGTGATTTGAAATAAATCCGTTGGACTGTAACCTGGTGTTGTGAGATTTTTGGCAATAATGTACCTCAGCCAGCCCTCAATGCACTAGCATGACTCATTATTGAAGGGCTTTACCCCTTTTACCCCTTTATGTTCTAAACCACATTTTGTCTCTCGACTTGCAAAGTCAAAGTCCTGGAATTCTTTACTGGTCATCGTGTTGCTCTTGTACTGTTTTCAGAAGTGTACTGTGTAAATAGGCTGGCCCTGTCAATTGTTTTTCTTTTATCTAAAAAAAAGCATTCCATTTGGGCTAATTGGAACCCAGTAATACCTGACCAAGGACTGATGTGTTAATCTGATAAGTATGGAATCTCATATCTTGGTTATGATTTTACTGCTTTACAGCAATCTCTGAGCTAAATATCACGATATATTTAAGTTGTTCCACATATGAGAATTTAGACCTCTGGGCAGTAGGTTACATTGATCATAAAATCAATAAAATTTAGGGAGAGGACAAAGCCATTACTTAAGCATCAACCCTTCTATGTATTTTTCCCTGCTCTTAATTCTAAAAGACTGTTTAATGAAATTCAAGGGTTAGGGGGCAGGCACAGTAAAATCCACGCATATCATAGGGAAAGGCTTCTATGTTTAGGCATTAGCAATAAAATACATGTTGGATGAAAGTGTTCCCATTCACAACAAACCTTCACCTTTACAAGAAATCTTTTGCACATGTACAGATATAAAAATATAGTCGTGGCTGCAGCCTACAAGCAGCCTGTTTGTTATGTCAATGATCTCATTATCTAATTCAAATTCGTGCACCTGCTCTCTCCCTCCTTTCTGTTGTTAGTGTCTAGAAATCTGTGTTTCTGAAATATATCCAGTGAGTTGGCCTCCACGGCCTTCCGTGGTGGACAATTCTACAGATTCACCATCCTCTGATGAAATTCCACTTTATCTGAACCCTAAATAGCTTGCCATGTATCGTGAGACTACAGCTCCTTGTTTTGGATACCTCTGACAAGGGGAGCATCTTCCGTGCATCAGTCTGACCAGCCCTTTTGACTTTTCAATGAGATGTCATTTTGCTAAACACCATTGAATAAAGGCCTAGTCAACCCAATGTTTCTCCTAATGACGTGATTAGTTACACCTTTAAATCTATTATTTTTGCATCTCATCTACTGAAGACTTTTAAGTCCGAGCTTTGCATATTGTGCCAACATGCTGCCAAACTAGTAGTACTACATTCTGTTCCATACTATCAACTATTTGTTTAACATAACATAAGGGAGCATAAGAAATGGAAGCAAGAGTAGGTATTCAGCCCTGCAAACTAGCCCTGCCATTCAACAAAATTATGACTGATCTTTCCCAGACCTTATCTGTTTCATGCCAGCTCAGCGT